CGCCAAAACCCCAAAACCCCAAAACCCCAAAACCCCATGAAATATAGGTAAAGAAGATAATTATGCATGTTAAATAGAGAAATGAATGGGAGCTTTATATAATAAATTGGATATTTCCTTGTAAATTACAATAATTTATATAACTTTAAATCATCAGATGGTAAAATCAATTGCGTATCTACTTCTTGTCGGAGCTGTTGCTCTTCCAGCCATTCTTGCTTAGAGATGGGTCTAAACCTGGAGCGATGAATTCGATGGTGGCCAAATCGATAGAAATAAATGGCAATACGACATCGGCGGTGGCGGCTGGGGAAACAATGAACTTGAGTTTTACACCGACAGACCACAAAACTCCTGGGTCTAGGGAGGCTTTTTGCACATCTAAGCCTTAAGAGAAGACTATGGTGGTAGACAATACACTTCAGCAAGAATGAATACTGCTGGGCACTTCTCGACTCTCTACGGTAAATTTGAAATGAGAGCATAACTACCTTACGGACAAGGTATATGGCCTGCCTTTTGGCTCCTCGGTGAAAACATTGGAAACGTCGGCTGGCCTGCATGCGGAGAAATCGATATTATGGAAAATATTGGAAGAGATCCAAATAATCTCTACTCATCACTCCATGCCCCATCATATGATACCACCAAAGGATACTACAGAGGCTAAGGCTTTGCTGATGGCTTCCACACCTATGCTGTTAACTGGCAACCAGATCACATCGAATTCTACTTCGATGGCCAACTTTTTGATACCGTTTACAAAAGTCAATCAGGTGGTCACTGGCCATTCGATGAAGGTCACAACTTCTTCATTATTTTGAACTTGGCTGTTGGTGGTAACTGGCCAGGAAACCCAGACGGTTCTACTCATTTCCCTCAACAGTACGTCATCGACTACATCAGAGTCTATGAAGCTGACTGGAGCAAAGTTGAAGAAGAAGCTGAGTTCTTGCAATGATCCGTACTTAATAGGAATTGGTAAAACATTCCAATCCAAATATTAAGACGCATCTCAAATATAATCTCTACAATAATTTGATTTAACGTATTCTACTAAAATTTATTCCTTGATTTAAATCTCATCATCCTGAGGGATTCTTGGGGTTTTGGGGTTTTGGGGTTTTGGGGTTTTGGGG